TCAGATGCCTTCTTGACCAATCTGTTTAAAACTGCACCCCCCAAGGTGGGAGATTTCCAGTCAAAATGGCAGAGTAGGTAAATGCTGTGCTCACCTCCTCTCAGGACCACAACAATTATAACTAAAGAACAATCATCATTAATAATCACCTGAAGCCTAGCTGAACTGAAGCCCTACAACTAAGGACATACAGAAGAAGCCACCTCGAGACTGGTAGGAGGGGCAGAGACACAGAACAAGCTGGTCCTATACCTGCGTGTGACCATTAAAAATTGGGAGGGGTGTCTCAGCTGTGGAGGAACCTCCGGGAGGAGGGATCCTAGTCCCATTCCAGGCTCCCGAACCCAGGGTTCCAGTGCTGGGGCGAGAAGTCTCCATAACTTCTCTTTATGAAAACCAGCAGAGATTGTGGCTGAGAGATGGAGGGCTGCTATATATAGTTCCAGGCGCTCCTCTTAAAGGGCACACGCACAGGTTTACTCACCAGTGGAATCACTGGCTCTAAGCTCCATCACTGGGACAGCATCTCAAAAGGTGCCAGGGACATATGGAGAGGAACTGAATTGTCTGGCCTCAGGGTGAGGGCTGGAGGGGCAGCTTTCTCCAGGACAGAGGAGCTTCAAGAAGCTATTGTTTCTTTGTTGAGCCCTCCCACTCCCTGCATGCAGAGCAGGTGGCTGCCATATCTGAGTCTCCGTCAAACTGGTTATCAGCTTTCGTCTGCCCCACCCCAGTGATTCCCTTAGACCCTGCCCAACCCAACTTTCAAGCACACCTAAGCCGCTTCCAGTGGCTTTTCCATAAAACAACCTGTCTTAGCTCATGTTGTGGAATTTCTTAAAACCCAAACAAGCAGCATCTAGCTTTAGCATTTCCCATACCTCTGGCTGAGCAGCTCTAAGTTCAGCACTAATGACAGCAAGCCTCAGTTCACAGATTGGCCTCTTGAGGCACCTCTACACCCAGTGTGAGTGGAAGCCGTCTGCCTATTACTTTGTGGCTCATACCAGGTGACCCCAGGTAGATCACAGGCTGTGGCTAAACTTGGCCTGCAGTGGGCCCCCTCTCAGGAGGTCCCAGGGATGAAACACCTGGTGGCTGCCTTCAGACCAAGCTGGAGAATCACCGGCCACCCAAGGATGACACATGCAAAGGGCAGGCTGGGAAGGTACCAGAGTCCTGCTAAAGTGAACCCTGCCCTGTAGCGTCAGCCCTTGTACCACAGCTCCTCCACTGTAGACATGGCCAGTACTCAAAACCAATCAGCCTGAGGGTCAATCCCTCCCATTGACATACAAACAGCAACCAAGGCTCAACTACAACAGGAGGGTACACACAATCTATACAAGGGACACACCTGGTACACCTGGCTCTGGTGACCAGGGAGACTGCATTATTGGGCCCCACAGGGCAGCTACTATATGAGACCACTCTACTAAGACCGGGAGACATAGCAGCCCTACCTAATATACAGAAACAAAGACAAGGAGGCAGGCAAATGGGGAGACAAAGAAACATGCCCTAAATGAAAGAACAGAACAAAGCTCCAGAAAAAGAACTAAACAAAACGGAGACAAGCAAAACACTGGTTATTGGGGTGCTCAATGATCTCAGGGAGGACTTCAGCAAAGAGATAGAAAACATAAAAATGGAGATAGAAAACATAAAAAAGAATCAGTCAGAAATAAAGAATAAAATAATGGAAATGAAGAACACGTTATAGGGAATCAACAGATTAGATGAAGCAGAGGATTAAATCAGTGATTTAGAAGATAAGGTAGCAGAAAACACCCAATCAGAACAGCAAAAAGAAAAAAGAATCCAAAAAACTGAGGACAGTTTAAGGGACCTCTGGGACATCAAGTGTTTCAACATTAGCATTATAGGGGCACCAGAAAGAGAAGAAAGAGAGCAACAAATTGAAAACCTATTTGAAGAAACAATGACTAAAAACTTCACCAGCCTGGTGAAGGAAATAGATATATAAGCCCAGGAAGCACAGAGAGTCTCAAACAAGATGAACCCAAATAGGCCCACACCAAGACACATTTTTTTTTAAAGATTTTATTGGGGAATTGGGAGAGGGGAACAGTGTTGGAGAATTGAGGAAGGGGACCAGCCAAGTTGCTGTTCTTCAATCTCCATTGTGGAGGGCGCCAGTTGCCATCTGGCTTCCCGTTGGCAGCTCGTGGCCTCTAAGCTCAAAGTGCTGTGTTCAATCTTAGTTGCGGGTGGGCGTAGCTACCATCCCATGCAGGAGTTGAACTCGTCAGCCTTGTTGTTAGGAGCGCACACTCTATCCACTGAGCCATCCAGGCTGCAGCTCAGCTCAAGGTGCCAAGTTCAGTCTTAGTTGCAGGTGGATGTAGCCCATCTCAAACAGGCAATCTTGTTATTACACTAGCTGAGCCATCCTGCCACCTGTTGGCCGCTCAGCAACAGGTCAGTTGGGCGCAGCGTCACTGGCCCATGTGGGAATCAAACCGGCAGCCCTGTTGCTCAGAGCTTGTGCTCTGAAGCCAACTCTTAACCAACTGAGCCATTTGGCCAGCCCAAGGCACATTATTTTAAAGTGCCAAAAGTTAAAGACAAAGAGAGAATCTTAAAAGCAGCAAGAGAAAAGCAGTTAGTTACGTACAAGGTAGCCTCCATAAGACTGTCAGCTGATTTCTGAACAGAAACTTTGCAGGCCAGAAGGGATTGGCAGGAAATATTCAAAGTGATGAAAAGCAAGTCCTACAACCAAGATTACTCTATCCAGCAAAGCTATCATCTGGAGTTGAAGGACAGATAAAGAGCGTTCCAGACAAGAACAAGCTAAAGGAGTTCATCATCGTCAAACCAGCACTACAAGAAATGTTAGAGGATCTTCTTTAAGAAGAAGAAGAAAACGAAGAAGATAAAAAATATGAATGATAAAATGACAATAACTACATATCTATCAACAATTACTTTGAATGTAAATGGATTAAATGCTCCAATCAAAACACAGAGTGACTGAATGGATAAGAAAACAAGATCCTTACATATGCTGCCTACAAGAGACTCACTTCAGATTGAAGGACATACACAGACTGAAAGTAAAGGGATGGAAAAGATATTTCATAAAAATGGAAACAAAACAAAACCTGAGGTAACAATACTTATATCAGACAAAATAGACTTTAAACAAAGGCTATAACAAGAGACAAAGAAGGGTCTTGTAATCCCACTTCTGGGATTATTTAATTATCCAAAGAAAATCAGAACATTATTTTGAGGGGATGTGTCTCTGCAGCATTGTTTACAATGGCCAAGATGTGGAGGCAGCCTGGGTGTCCGTCAATGGATGAATGGATAAAGAGGAGGTGATACATATATACAATGGAATATTGCTTGACCCTTGATGGGAATGGGTTCTTGCCATCTGTGGTGGCCTGGATGGACCTGGGGGACATTGCGCTGAGTGGAGTATGGCAGAGAAAGACAAATGCAATGTGATTTCAGTTATATGTGGATCTAAAGAACAAAATAAACAAACAAAACAGAAACAAACTCATAGATACAGAGAACATTTTGATGGTTGCCACATGGGAAGGAAATTGGAGGGAGTGAGAAAGAGGAAGGGATTAAGAAGTACTAATTGGTTGTTATATAGTAGTCATCGGGATGTAAGAATATAGTCAATAATATTATAATAACAATGTATGGTCTCAGAAGGGTACTAGATTTATCGGGTGATAGATGAGGAGTTTGGGGAACAGGGTGAAAAAGGTGAAGGGATTAAGAAGTACAAATTGGGAGTTACAAAATAGTCATGGGGGTGTAAAGTAAAGCATAGGGAATATAGTCAATAATATGGTAATAACTATGCATAGTGCCAGGTGGGTACTAGACTACTTAGGGGGATCACTTCTTATGTAAATGTCTAACCACTAGGCTGTACACCTGAAATTAATATAAAATAATATTGAATGTCAAAATAAATAAAGTGTGGGTAAATAAATAAATAAATAAATAAATAAATAAAATTGCATCTCCCCATTCCCACATCCCCCCTTTTTTCTTTTATTCTCTCCCTAGCACTTCTTACCTTCTAACGTTCAACATTTTACTTATAAACTTTTTATTGTCTCTCATCCATTAGAGTGTAAGCTTACTGAAAGCAGATGTTTTCTTCTATTTTGTTCACTGCTGTATCCCCAGTGCCTAGAAAAATGCCAGGCACACAGCTGGCACACATTTGACACATTAGAATGAATCAATGAATGAATTTAATCCCCACAAAGATGGGTGCTATAATTATCCTGCTTTAACAATGCTGAGTATGAATTTTAAAGTGGTTGCATTTGCCCAAGATCACAAATGAGCAATCGGTAGAAAGAGACATGACCCTAGGACCACTGGACACCAAAGCCTAAAACAATTCATGACCTACTGTTGTTATTTTAACACTTTTGGACCGTTCTTGGGAAATGATCAGTGCAACAGTTAAAATCTAGAAGTGGAGCTATATTTGGTGCTGTTGGAACTAGGGAAGCCAGTGAGAAAACGAAGGAAAAGCTCCAAAATGAACTATTTTTGTTTCCAATGGTTGTGGTACTTCTTAATTTTTAGAGCAGTTGATAGCATTTCTTGAATGACCATTTGTTGAGGAGATGGACTTTCTGAAGTATTATGGTGATGGGAAATAAATCAAGGTTTAGCAAGTCATATTTCCTTGGGGTAAGTCAGGGGCCACTTTGGACCTTAAATTGCTTAAGAATTTCATCCAGTGAGAGTCAGCTGCAAGAATTAGGGCCCCAAAACACTGTAGGACATTACCATGTGTAAGGCAAATGTCCCAAGGACTTGTATAGGCTTCTGCAGAGAATGCATTAACTCAATTTTGAAGATCACTCCCACATTCCCTCATCAAAGAATCAACTGGACAGAATTCAACTCATGTCACACAGGATGCCTTGAGCCGACTGAATGTGCCTGAAACCTTGGGGGCACTTGGTGAATATTAAGCAACCTACTTGAGTCTGAGTTTTCAGTGGGTCAAAAGGCTCAGTCTGGAAGGCATTCGTTTGGATGGTGTTCGGCTAAAGCAAAAAGCGAAGTTCAAGGAAAAGAGGATTGAAACGTGTTCTCTGAAAAAGAGAAAGAAAAAAGACAGAAAAGTTTTCAAATGCCTTTTGAAAATTGTCTGAAAAAAGATACACAAGCAGAAAATATATTTTGGCAACAAAGTGATGAGCCTACTGGGTGAGATGTTTCTTAAAGTCTTTAATACAATTTAAACACAAGAAATAAATTGGTTCCTTGACATTTTAAGCTCATTAATTTTAAATAACAAGTTTTAGGATTTCAAAAAAAATCATGTTTGTGTATTTTGCTAATGGAAAAGTCTGAACCTCTATGCTAAGAACAAAGAAATTAGGAAAATGTGGCATTGTTTTGCCTTCCAATATACATAAAGGCCCTTAAACAATTTGAGGTTATTTTTCATTTCTTGTCAATCCCTAATTGTCTATTTTGTTACTAAAAATGGGTGGAGCCAGGGAAGTAACACAAGGTTCAATTCATGTATCCAGAATAACGGAAGTACAAACATGAAAATTCCACCTAAGCCTTATTGAAACAAAAAGATGCTGGGTTCAGTTATAAAGGCCTTATACTCTTAATGCAAATGTTTATTTATTTAGGGCTACTTGGCAAACCAATATTTGAAAAGCTTATGCTGGTAGAAAAAAAAAATCAGCCAGGGAGATAGAACGAGGGTTTGGAGATGGTAACAGGAGCATGAATTAAATGTGAAGAGACACGTATCAGAGATCAGTTACAGTGAAGTGTTTCCATCAGTATCCTCAGCCATCTGATGTATTATTGGAGCGATAACTTGATTTTGCCAACCTAAGTGAAGTAATGTAGTGGTTCAGGATGGAAGAAAATCACCTTTTCTAAATGTCTCCTGATGTGTCAGGCACTTAATATTTTATATAATAATAATAGCTAATATTCAGGAAGGGCCTTCAAGATATAATGCCCCACAAATTATTTCTAACCCTTACAATGATCCTAGGAAGTAGATGTTATCCTCACTTTAAAGATGAGAAAACTGAGATTTGAAGAGGTGAAATAACTTGCTCCCTATCACCTAGCTGGTAAGCAAACCAGAATTTAAACCTAGTGCTGATTCTAGAGCCCAAATCTTTCTGCTTTGTCACTAGCCTGAAAACAAGACATAGTAATTGGATGTGACTTATCCTGCTCCCCCAGGGAAAGAGCTACTGATAGTGTTCACATGAAAAGTTACAGAGATGAAAATAAGCAAATAAGAGAAATGAGCCACTGCAGGTATACTTCTTATGATGAACCCTTGATAATAGTTGGCCTTGAAAAACTCTCTATAGAGATATTTTAAATATTTTAAAGAATTTATTGGCATTGCTTCAGAGAAATAACACATTAGCAACATATATCACTTTGCTTTGAGACAACAGCTCATACATATGTCTATGTATAAACATGCAGATTTTCCATATCAAAATACCTATATTTTCTAATTTTATTCTCTCTAATATCTTCTTTCCACGTATGTATAGAATATGCCGGAAGTGTAGGGTTCTCCATTTCTAGCCAACTAGAGGTAAATTCCCTCATTTAAAAGCATATTTCAGGGCCGGCCGAGTGGTGCGATGGTTAAGAGCTGGCTTGGGATGCCAGAGGGCCCCGGTTCGGATCCCACATATGAGGGCCAGTGACACTGCCCTCCACAGCTAAGATGCTGAACAACAGCTCAACCTGGAGCTGGGCTGCCGTGAGTCGCCGGCGACGGTGTAGGCTGCAGCCCCTGCTGCAGTGGGTTGCCATGGGCTACCTTGTGTAGCCAGCAGCCAGCGTGAGCTGCCAGCAGCCGCAGTGAGCGGCCGTCCAGAAGCCGGCGACTGATCTGCCTCGCCCAAGAAGAGTGCAATGATGGTGCCAACTTGGGCCAGTGAAGCAAAGTCCTCCACAACTAGACTGAAGAACAAAACGACAGCAACTTGTCTGTTCCCCTTCCCCCGATTCCCCAGCACTGTTCCCCTTCCCCCAATTCCCCAGCACTGTTCCCATTCCCCCAATTTCCCAATTAAAAAAAAACAAAAACAGAAAATCATATTTCTAAGCCCCGTGTTTATAAAAAAAAAATCACTTCTCACGTTTATTAGCCTGACCAGTTTTTATCCAGGACCATTATTGCCTGAATTTTTCACTTGAAAGAGTGCACCAGTCCCTCAAAGAGCCATCACTTCAAGTCCATCCCCTGTGAACCTGGATGTGCAAGGATTGTGCAGGAACAGGCAGAGGGCAGAATGGGCATTCTCTCTGCTCATATTTGGAAGCTGACACATGGCACAGGGGAAATAATGAATGCCACAGAGTCTCCAGCCAACTTTATGTCACTGGAATTCATAAAAACAAATAAACTAAAACTTTGCAACCGACCAGAACTGCTTAAACAACTTTAACAATGTGGCTGCTTTATAAGGGCCCTATGCAGTTTAATCTTTGGGCTGTAGATAAGATACTTTGTAAAGAGCAAATCCATCAATAATTATTATAAACGGATGGTTACTTTGGGCATCACAAAGAAATGTGGCAATTGTAAACAAGATGATTAATTATCATATGGATAGTCTTTATCAGCTAGACAAATTCGATTTTCTTAAAAATATTAATTTTATTTTTCAGAGTTTGAAATTTAAAAGCTTAACTATTACATGGTACAATTTCTTTACAGAAGTCTCATTTAATAACATACCTTATACTTCTTACGCCTTATATTTTCTCCTTAGTGATGGTTTATTTTTATATGGAAGCTCATGAGAAATAAAAAATTAATTTAGGTATATTTTTCTCCTCATCAGTAATCTCAACATATTGGCAAAGCAATTATAAGGAAACTTCAAGTACTTTTGTCATAGTTGGTAAACTTAGAAAGAGGAGAAGGAAGTAAGAAGTTCTGAAGAGAGGTATTTTGACCTTAACCACATTTATAGGCCTGCTTACTTTGCTACTTCCTATATTAATCCATTGGCATAGCTACATCTTATTTGCATATTGAAACCTGTTGGATTGTTGGAAAAGTCATGATGCATTTTTGCAATGAAAAACATTGAAAAAACACGTCATGACTTTTCCTACAACCCAATATTGTTGCCTTTCACAAGCTAGAAAGAAAATGCGACTGACAAGTCTAGGTATATTAAAATCAAGTGGAATGACATACTTGAAATTGGAAATGTTCTTGGGAAACCAGATCACGAAATTATACCTACAGAGCCTCACATTAATCCAGATGTGTCACTTAATGTAGAGATTAGCTCCTATGGACAGCAATATTTAGTTCCAGTTTTTGGCAGTGGAGATACACACAATGCATCAATGGGACATATAGCCACCAACTATACTTGAGTCAGAGCTGACTCAATCCATATAGAGCAAGCATTGTGCGCCTGTCCTAACTGTAGCCATTATCTTACCTGCTAGTGACCTGGACAGTAGTGCCAATCAAGGCCAGAGCTGGGTGAATTGGGGCAAGCCAGAGTTCCTCTTCCATTTTTACCCCCATGCTTGGGGAAATTCATGGCCAGGTGTCTGCAATGGTGAGAGTGAGAGACCAAGGGCCAACTTCTGCTGCTTACTTCCTTCACCTCTGTCTTTGCCTACCAACCTGCCAGTCTCTCTACCACCTGGAAGCAGGTGTACTCTGATCTCTTTAAGGGCCTAGAAGTTATCTGCATGGCCATTCATCAGGTCCTTGGTGGTATATCCATTTTGCCTGGGACTCTACCACAGCTTCCCTTTTTTAAATAATACTAGTCAACATTTACAGAACTGTTGTTCCTTCAACAAACATGTACCAAACACCAATCGTTTGTCAGGAACTGAGCTGGGGGCTGAGGACATAAAGCTGACTCAGGGGCTAGGGTCCTCACCTTCAAAGAGCTTTTAGCTTATTGGGAGGAAGGGCATGGAACTATTCCAGAACAATTAGAAGCAGGAAGGGAAGAGCTCAATGAAGACAATGAAGAGGGAGTGAGCATGCACACAGGGGAAGAGATTAGGGAAGCCTTTAGTCAGAATGGTAGCTAAACACTTGGTCAACTTAGAGCAAGGAATGGTTAAAACACTTCCATATGTTAAAGACTATTGCACTCTTGCACTTAGCTTGGAAACTGCAGCCAGGGAGAGGGCCCTGTGATTTTTATCAACCACACTGGGATGAACAGGGACATGAAATGACCATCCCTTGGCCTTATTTCCTCCCAGGATACATACCACCACTCAGGCTTGATAGTTCAGATTATAGTATAGAAGCCTAGCCTTTGGCTCTGACGGATCAGGCATTCAAGAGGTGCTATGCCCTTTAGAGCCGAGAGACAGTGGACAGGTTGCTTGAGTTCCTGTTTTCTCACCTGCAATAGGAATACTAGGGCACATAACAGGCTTTGGAGATTTACATTTTTGTTGAATACTCTGAAGGACTTCTGCAGCAATACAACTAGATTACAACAAGCAAAGTGTTTCAGGTTCTGCTTGGGCTTGCAGAAAATCTTGAATGGGTGTGATGAGTGAGAAGAGTGAGTGGTAAGAAAATGAATAAACTGCAATTGCCATGGGACCAAATGTTGAACTGGTACTAGGATCAGAAGCATAAAGCTGGGGGTCTATACAAGGAGGAGTTATACATAAGACCTACTTTCAGCCAAATTCCTTAAAGGGACTAGAATAGCCTCACATTAGCACAAAAACAGTTGGGGAGCTAGATTTGGTCTATGGGTTGCAGTTTACTGATCCCCAATATAAGATAGTAATGTTTAACATATGTAATTGCTTAATGGTTTATAAACTCTTTCCTATATATTATTTAATTTGATCCTTAACAGCTCCTGTAAGGTAAGTAAAAGGGAGAATAGCCTTTATCCTATTGGATACACTGTATCACTAATAACACATAAAATACCAGAAAAATTAATGCTAGGTGTAAACCAAAGAAGATTAGACACAATGCTATAACTTCATAGAAGGAGGGGATCGAAAGGTTGAGGAAAATAGTTCCTCTTCCACCTCGCCTTTACCTTAAAAATGTTCTTTTGGTTGTCAC